GTAATTAGTCTCATTAAGTTTGATAGAGATCATGAGACCATTGATAAGAGTCGGAGGAGGCAAAGATGGAGTAAGGGACCTAATATCTTGTTTGGGTTCCATAAAAAAAAAAAAAAAAATTGGAAGACTAAACCAGACTGAAAAGAGAGGCTGGACCGCTGAACCGGTCAAGCTAAGCTCTTTGGAAGACTAAACCGAACTAAATTGAGCTCTAGGACTGCCGAACCAGCCAAGGAATGGCCACTAGACTGCTGAACCGGGCTGGAAATAAGGGTTGGACCACTGAACCAGACCAGTTGAACCTGCTGGACTACTGAATCGGGTTGGACCTCTAAACCGGACCAATTGAGCTCTTTGGACAGCTGAATCAAACCTAAATTGGTCTAAAATTGCCTGAACCGGGCTGGTTTGAGGCTGAGTCTGGAATATGGATCAGGGTTTGGACTTCTTTTTCTCCAAAGAGCAAACCCTAATGCTCCTTCAACATCACACACACCAGTCGAACAACAAAGCAACAACCACACATAGACGAGCAAGACAATGTCAACCACAATCGACTACACCAAGAACAACCACCACCACCTAATTGGAGAACTAGAATCCCCCACCAAAGCAAACCAATCGACTACCACCACACGACCATGAACCAGGAAATAGACGACCACCACAGTCGACTACCACCACCACCAGTACACCTAGCACAACCACGATGGACCACGACGACCACACCACACGACCACGAACCACACAACGTCCACCACCACAGTCGACTACCACCACCACCGGTATAACCATGATGGACCACAACAACCACACCAGTCACACAACCGTGAACCAGAAGAGTTAAAGTTTGTTTTTCCAAGCTCTGATACCATGTCAAGTTTGGAAGATTAACATAATATCAGACAATATTTAGGGAGAAAGAGAGAGGTTAAAAACTTAATCTAACTCTCATACATAACTTGTATTTATAGTTAACCTACAATAATAATAATAACACATACATCCCCTTACTATTAATAATTTACACATACTACCCTATTATTCTTAACAATCACCAATCCTCTTCATTATTATAAGAGCATCCCCTTCCAAAACAATTTCATCACACCCCATTTGCCTAGCAAAAAGCACAACTTCCCTTGCAGCCATAGTCTCTGTAGTTTGCGCTTTTGCTTTGCCAATTAACTTCTTAGACATCCCAGTAATGAACGACCCAGCTTCATCTCAAATCACCACCCCTACCCCAATAGCACCCTCTTCGTCAAACACTGCTCCATCAAAGTTAACCTTAAAAGATCCAGATCTAGGAGGAACCCAACATTCTGATGCACTTTTCTGGACAACATTCTGACCAGAATCCAAGGCCTGCTTATACTGCGAAATAAACTCCATTGCCATATGACAATACACCACAGGGTCTTTTTGCCTCTGCTGAAATAAAACCTCATTCCTGTTACGCCAAATATACCAACACAACATCAAAAACATTGCACCAAGTTTTGGCTTAAGCTGCAAAATAATTTTCCAAAACCAATCAACAAAGTTCCCATCCACTCGATTTATTAAATGACAAAAAGGACTCTCATTCCATACTTGTCTTGCCCAAGGACATTCGTTACTGATATGTAACATAGTTTCAACACCCTCCCCACATACACAACATACCCCATTTGGTCTAATTTTCCTGCGCCACAAATTTTCATTAGTAGGAAGAATATTCAAGATCATCCTCCATGCAAAAATCTTTACTTTACTGGGAACATTTTGATTCCATAGAGCACCCCAATTCTGCTCATATGCTAAATGGTACGCACTCCAGATTGAAAATCTGCATTGGCATTATAATGCCAAATTAACTTATTTTCCATAGGCAACACACCCAAAGGGATCCTTTTAATTACCTCTGCTTCATGCTCCAAAAAGACAACATCAATCACAGGAATTTTCCAGCAATGTGTAACTGGATCAATAAGCTCACTAACTATAGCATCATCCTCCAAAAATTTCTTTGGACTAACCACTCGGAAGGTAGATGGAGTAGGAATCCATCTATCTTTCCATATATGAATTTTAGACCCATCACCAATCCTCCAACGCGACCCGGCTTCAATGATCGTCCTTGATTCTAAAATACTCCATGTATATGAAGGTCTGTATCCAATCTTGGCATTCTTAAAAGTTGTCGATGGAAAATACCTCGCTTTTAAAACCTTGTGCAGAAGAGTATGCGTCTCATGGTGAATTCTCCAAGCCTGTTTTGCTAACATTGCCATATTAAAAGTCCTTAAATCTCAAAAGCCCATCCCACCAATTTTCTTCCCTTTACACATGTTCGCCCATTTAACCCAATGAATCTTCCTCTCCCCCTCCTTTTGGCCCCACCAAAAATTAGAAATCATAGACTCCAACTCGCTACAAAAATAGTCTGGAAGCTTAAAACTTCCCATCGCGTATGTTGGAATCGATTGAGCAACTACTTTTATTAACACTTCTTTACCTCCCTTTGATAACAATTGTTCCTTCTACCCTTGTAGCTTTTTCCAAACTCTTTCCCTGATACCAGCAAAAACTTCCCTCTTCGATTTACCCACTATAGATGGCAGCCTAAGATACTTCTCATGTTGTTGAACTCGGGGAACACCAAGAATAGCTTGTATTTCTTCCACTCTAATCTCTAGAACATTCTTACTACATACCAAAGCAGATTTTTCATACTAATTTGTTGCCTTGAAGCCACTTCATAAACTTGCAGTAATTCCTTCACAGCATTTGCCTTCGAACAAGTCGCCTTAAAAAATAACAGGCTGTCATCTGCAAAAAATAGATGAGAGATTCTGGGGCATCCTCTTCCAACAATGACACCTGATATTAATCCCTGAGTTTCCGCATCTTTAAGTAAAGCTGACAGTCCTTCTGCACATATAAGAAAAAGATAAGGGGATAAGGGGTCTCCTTGTCGGATACCCCTCTGAGGATGAAAATAACTCATTTGGTCATTATTCACAAGCACCGAGAATGAAACCGATTTAACACACTCCATAACCAATTGAATCCACACATTGCTAAACCCCAAAGCTCCCATCATTCTCTCCAAAAAAATCCACTCAACTCTATCATATGCTTTACTCATATCTAACTTCAAGGAAATGTGACCCTCTTTTCTCCAAGATTTGCACTTAAGAAAATGATTTAGTTTAAAAGCCACAAGAACATTATCAATAATCAGTCTTCCAGGAACAAAAGCGCTTTGGTTTTCAGAAAGTATAAAAGGGAGTACAATTTTTAACCTATTTGCTAAGACTTTAGAAATAATTTTGTAGAGGACATTACACAAACTGATGGGACGAAATTGAAACATCAACTCAGGACTTTGTACTTTAGGAATCAAGACAATGTGAGTATAATTCAATTTTGTAGGAAAAATTCCCCCATTTAAAAGAGACAGTACATAATTTAGGACATCCACTCCCACCACATGCCAATATTTTTGAAAGAAAAGAGCAGGCATATCATCTGGGCAGGCGATTTAGTAGGGTACATTTGAGAAAGGGCTAATAATACCTCATCAGGTCGATAGCACTGCATGAGTCTCTAATTCATTTCATCAGATACTTTGCTTGCCACCTTGCTTAGAACAATCTCCAAATCTCGCTCGTGTGGTCTGATCGATGTAAACAATTGTTTAAAATATGCAACAACCACGTTCCCAATCTCTTCTTGTGAATCACACCATACACCTTGCTGGTTTTTAATACCCCCTATCCAATTTTTCCTCCTTCTTTGTGATGCCCAAGCATGAAAAAAATATGTATTTCTGTCACCCTCTCGCAACCAATTCACTCGCGATCATTGCCTCCAATGTGTTTCTTCCAAATCCATTAAGTTGTGAAGCTCAGATTGAAGAGAGGCTTGTTATTGTTTACTAGTTTCAAAAATTGGTCCTTCTTGAATACTTGCCAACTGTTCTTTTAGAGACTCCACTTGAGCAGGAGTATGACCAAACTGTTCCTTTTTCCACTTAAGCAAACCCATCCTACAATTTTGAATATTCTTTATTAAACCTTGCGAACCCATTCTTGATGCATCAGAATCCCACACATTCTTTATAACGGCTACACAGTCACTCCTCTGAACCCAAGAAGCTTCAAATCTAAATTTTTGCCTTCGACCAGTAAACATCCTTGTTAGACTTTTTGCTTCAGTATCAAGAATAATTTTGTAGTGATCCGACATCCGACTAAACTTATGGCAAACACCAGTATTCTAGAACATATCATTCCACAACATATTTGCACATGCCCTATCCAGCCTCTCCTAAACCGTACGAGGGGTTACCCAGTTATTGCACCATATAAATTTATACCCCTCATACCCTAAGTCAACCAACCTACAATTATCCAAAGTATCTCGAAAAGCCCCCATCTGCCAATTTGCTCTATCCCCCCTACCCTGCTTTTCTGAATTAGTAAGAATTTTATTAAAGTCACCCATACAAATTCAAGGTAACTCACTTTGTGCACGAAGCAACCTTAGCAAAGCCCAAGTTTCAAACCACTTTGACACATCTGGCTCGCCATAAATTCCTATAAAATGCCACATATTCTGCCCATTATTTGCATTGACCCAAGCATCAATATGTGACCGAGAAAAGCTCCATAAGGACACACACAAATCCTTCTGCCACAAGGCCAAACCCCCAGCTAAACCCTCTACATCCACAGAAATTCCATTCATCCTCAATCTTCTTTTCACCCGTTCCACTCCATCAGTTCTACATTTTGTTTCCATCAAGAAAACAATATCAGACTTTTCCTTCTTCACAAAGTCGTGAAGAAATTGAACTGTCCGAGGCTACCCTATACCTCGACAGTTCCAGCTTAAGAGTTTCATAATGATCGGCAGGTCTGGAACTTAGAACTTGCCATTAAACAATCAGATAGAGAAACTTCATCTTCCGAACATACTTGGACAACTGACCCCCTCTTCTTCAGCACTAACTATACTTCCTCCTCCAACAATGTAGAAGAAGTCGCTGTCTTTTGCTTGATGCCATTCTTGACTACAGGCAGCTCTATTGTTGAACCACTTTGCAACCTTGCTCTTCGCTTCCAAGATTTCAAAGACCCCTTTCTTTCTTTTTTCTCCAATAAAATCCCCTTTCCTTTATCTGGCCCCTTCTCGACCAGTTCTTTACGCATCTGATCTGAATCTACACTTAACCCACTTTTAGTTTGCTTCCCTATACTAGTGTAGGTTGGGCCATCAAAGTTTGGCCATTACAATTAGATTTGGCCCAATCTTGGTTGACCCGTGATAAGCCCATTGTAAGGCTAACTTGGATATCTGATGATCCGGACCCAAGACCATTTTGACCCTTTTGATTTCCCTCCAAAATTTGAGATATATTAGCCACAGAGTCCGCTTCCGCACAATTAGCACAGACTGTTTGTTCCTGACCTGTCCCACCTTCTATCATTACCTTCTCACTCATATGCTCCTGCCCATTATCCCCTTCATCCATGTGATTATATTCTATCCCCTCTTGGATTTTCGTCCCATCACCGACCTCCCCATTCAACGTTTCGACATATAACTCCAGCGACTTACTTCCTTCTCCGGCCACACGGTTCCCTTTACTCTCAGCAAAATCAGCATCAACTGCAATCTTTTGGTTCACATATCTCTTTTTAGACTTTTCCCCTACAGCTTGTAACCAACTGCCGTATTGCAGCGGCCTTTGATTAATGGAAATTTGTGCCTCCAACCTCACAGAACATTCCCTCTCCCCATGACCAAAACATCCACAAAAATAACAGATATTTGGCAAGTGTTCATATTTGAAAAAGACTCTGAAACTTTGCCCATTCTCGCCTTTTACCATCATTCCCCTTTTCTGGGAAATTCGATTCTTTTTCTACATATGAATTCGAACAAATAGGTTGACAGATTCTACCAATGTGTTGTTTTTGCTTGTGATTTCAATTATGGGTTATCCTTCTAAATATTAGCCCTGTGTCGTATTGTGTTGAGTAAAATAACTCTTGGTAATAGCATTGTGTATGATTATGTAAAACCTGGTGCAGTGAATGTTTATGAGATTCTTTTGAAATGGAAACTATATATGTTGACTTGTTTTAAGCACTCAATTTAGCAACTTGTGATGCATAAGCCTAAGCCTAGGGAAGATAATAATTAGAAATTTTTCCATGGTTAAGTCCATTTAGCAATCAATTGTTTCATGCGATTGTTGGAACAAGCTTATTTATTTTTTACTCCATTATTAGCATTTTCAGAAATAATCTTCGTCTGAATTCGCACCTTATTGCAAGTTACTATCACCTAGAAGCAGCACTTTAGGAGTGCAAATTGATCACTTAAATGAATTTTTTCTTCATACGTTGTGTCTATATTCTAATAGGGACTCCCATAAACTGTTTGCTACACACCATTGAGGGGTTGCAATATCACAACTTCTAGGTAGTAAAATTAGCATTTGTTTATCAATCTGCAATCAACAGAAGTAGCCTTTATAAATTTCTTTTTAGAAAAGAAAAAAGAATTTTAGGGAACCTTTCCAAAAAAAAAAAAAAAGAAACGTCTCAATTCATGTAAAAAAAATTCTGAGAACTCATAGTAGGCAAAAATATATTCTGAGAACTCATAGTGGGCAAAAATAGTTTAAGCAACCCCTAAAAGGTTCATCGTAGTTAAGGTTTCTTGCAATGCGTATGAGCCTTGTCTTCTTTATCATCTGTATGCATTAGCCATGTTCCTTTCTTTCGGTGTGTAGCTTAGCTATGAGTTATTCATTAGGAGAGATGTTAATTTGCTAGATAAGGGATGGTGAGATGGTCATGTAGGGTGTCTATGAGGGATGGTTATCACAGTTGACATCAACTTTTTTAATTCTAATTTGGTAAGTCTTCCCGTTATGTATGCAAAGTGCTCCATTCAACAGCTTCTTTGGGAAAATGGGCTTGACGTGTCATTGTTGAGTATTGTTATTCTTAGGTTAGTGGATTGCACTTACTTAGATTAAACATTCAATGCATAAGATTTTGCGACATCATTTGGTAGCCACATTTGGTAAATTCATTTGAGATGTATTAGTTTATTCTTCCTTTATTAATATTGAAACTGAATGTAAACAACTTTTCTCACACTTATCTATGTAAAAATAGTCTAGAAACTGGTTTATAGAATATGTAACAAACGCATTTCGTTGATGATATTTTGTACTTCATATTCAAAATAGTGCACGAGTTTGCTGTAGCATTTCGTGCGCGGTAACTTTTTGTCTTTTGGTTTTGGTGCTTGGTTTGAATTTTGCAGCTGGTTCTCCTAGGCTTTCGGAATTCTTATAATAAACTACCATGAAACAATGGATAAATGTTATTTTTGATGGTTTTCTTCAAGTTCAATGTTTTTTATTTAACATATGTAATATGTTGCTGCTTCAGATTGTATTTGGTTTTCCAGGAAGTAGTATAAATGGAAAGCTTTAAGATTTGCACTTTTCTATTGGATTTTGTTCTTGCTTTATTTTATTTTTTCCCTTTCACTTTCCCAGCAAACAATCTATATCAAACATTTAAGAGTTGGCTTTTCGCTCATCACAATAGGCCAATGCTGCCATAGTGGACGAGGAGTGCTCTCTGGTGGATTTCGATTTTGTACCACAAGGATCGAGCAGAGCAAAGGTAAGTAGACCATAGATCTACATGTTTAATTAACATTTTTGCCTGTTTTTATGCATATTTTAATATGGGTTTGTCCCACATGGCGTTGTGGCGTGTGTGGTCGATATTTATACATGGTATAAATTATACAACATTGTTGCTTCCCTTATTATAAAACGACTACTAACTGGCTATCGAACATAATTCAAAATAAGAACACATTAATGAGTTGTTAATAATATGTATCAGTTCAACTATGTTTTTACAATATGTATGTCTAATTTGACATTAGAAGATTTTTTTTGCCTACAAATATATAAAGAGAATATATATCACAGATTTTTAATACACCCCTAGATTATTTAAAATGAGTTTATTTTCGTAATAGTGACAACAAAATAGTAAAAAGAAGGGAAAATCATAACATAAATTACCAGAAAGTAGAAATATTTTTATATTTTTGTTGATGATATACATTTTTTTATTTAAAAATAAATTTGTTTGATAATTGTGACGCTCCAAAATCTGGGTGTTTTGTACTCGTTGATCACCCATCAATCCGAAAAATACCCGTAAATTCCGTGTAATTCGATACCACACTATTATGCTCCATTTATTGAGATTCATAACTTAACAAAATTCGGATAGAATCTCTTTTGCATGGAGAGTTCTACCCAAAACACAATCTATGCAATCATACAATATTGACCACACATGATCCATTCATCCATACTCAATTGCATAGTATCAAATACTATCATAATCATTATCTCTACATACATTCATTCATAAAAAAATAAATGTTCCAAAATAGTCTCATATACATGCTTTTTTAATATAAAACAAATTTTTGTTTACAAAAATTATACAAATCAAAAAGTAAACATATAAGAGACTACAACATCAAAATAAGAGTCACGGTCCGGCTCTATTGTCAAAGCAGGCCCATAGGAGGGCCTTCGGTGGAAACCTGTGCGATACCTGAAAAATACTTCTATTAAGGGTGGGTCAATACTCAATAGGGTAACTCCTATAGAGAATATCTCTCAAACCAAATGCATATGAAATGTTACATGCAATAATCATTTCATGCATTCATTCAAATATATCTATTATGAATAAATGTTATAAATCATGACATGACATGACATGAAATGAGATTCATGCAAGTAATACCAACACCGAGCCCTATCCTAGGCTCCCATAACGCATGTAATGTAATGCGTTTGTATTTGAGCATTCCAATCTCTCGTCATTGGTGTTATATACATTCAATGACTAATTAATTCATTTTCTAGTGTCTTTTTGTAAGACGATGTTTTATGATATTTCACCAATAGGACACCACACCATCAACAAATTTCAAGACATCCCATATGCGACTCCATTTTTGCCATTACACTTTTATGGAATTATACCGCCAGAAAGTGTATAAACCAAGCAACTGAATTTTACACTCGAGAGAGAATCTAACCCTTCTTACTACACCTCGACACATTTATCCATTTAATTTTTTGTGCAACTTAGCTGGACCTTGTGTAACTCTTCCGAGCCCACAATCAACCCACTTATGTGGTGATTGATTTCATATCATGCACACACTCCCACCCATGTCAATGTTCATCAATTATATAACGAATGCAATGTAATGATATTTTTAAAATCATCTCAAGCATGTTATGTAAAATAATCAATTAAACTAATATACTTGTATTCACCTACACATTTAAACAAACACCTAGAGAATACATCAATTTATCTAGGCATTTAAACAAACACCTAGAGAATACATTAATTTGCACAACTAGCATGCTCATTACTTCCACCATAGCAACATGTTTATTAATTCTATAAATATAAACAAAAGTTCACCATGCTAACCACATGCTAAATGATCATTTAACATACATATTATCTCATAATCACATAACAAACTAATAATATATTAAACATGATATTTTTAGTATATTTTTATTCAAATAACCTTAAATTATTTTCGGGTCCCACGAATAAAATTTGATTGCAATAATTTTAATTGTTTGACACCTAGTTGCTTCGTAACACATGAAAAATTCGACTACTCAGAATTCCATGAAAATTGGTTGGATAGCTAGATTTCGCAAGATGAATCTAACGGTGAGGTCCATTTCGTCATCTGAGTTCTACAAAATTTGGGTTTTCAACTAGTAATATAACGAGTAATTATTGTTTTACCCTTTTTAATTAAGTTGTAATTTTTCCAGGATTTTACGATAATCACCACGGATGATGCCTTTCATGAATTTAGAATCGAGGGATTCTAAGTAGTTTGAGTACTGAAAGTTTCATTCATCTCCTTCACACACACACACACACACACACACACACACACACACACACACAGAGCGAGAGAGAGAGGCATCTATTTATATATACCTATACTATTCCTAAAAGTTTCTTAACCTCAAAACTTTTATTTTTCTATTTCACCTTTATTTAATTTGCTAATGTCAGTTTTATCCTTAGCCATACTACTATATAATATCAATATCTTGAAAAAAGTTATGATTTTCCTTTTTGCCCATAAACAAATTGATAATCTATTGTCTTATTTTTAATGCCAATTACATCATTAATACCTACGGCCTCTTTTGCAGCTTGAACATGATTGGTACACAGCAAAGTCCTCATAAATTCTATGAATGAATAATAGGATGTTGTTAATGCATCATTTAGCAATGGGAAAGGCAAATAGTACTTTACATCACTGTTCAGACTTGTTACTAATTGTTTTGTTTTTGCAGTTGTTTCTAGTTAAAATGCAGGTTATGGTTTGTACTTTTCAAAATTCTTATGCTCCTTTTCTTGCCAAAATAAAAAAAAAAAAAAGCAAGGTTCGAACCACCAGTCTATCTTATATTTGCCAGATTCTAAAGTTATTGGAAAAACATGATACTTATTACACCCTATCTTTTTGCGACTTTTCGGTTTTTGACTTAATTTCTAATAACCTCCCATTTACTTGGTAACTTTTTTCCTGCCATAACTTCTCTTCGTTTTCTATTATTAGTTTGATTTACATTTGGGTATTTTAACCCTTTCAAAAAAAAAAAAAAACAAAGAACTCTTTCTAGAAAGCTTCCAAGGAGTTTGCATACCACAACAATGTTCAAAATTTGTAACTGTGTTTTAGTCTGCACCTTCAAGCTTAATCTTTTTTGGACTCATAGTGAAGCACATACATAGTCTAGCTTTATGGGTTATTGATTTATATATATATATATATATTATTTCATTTTTTGGAATTGATGGCTATATTTTTGATTTTACAGATTTGATTCAAATGGTGATTCTCAGAAGGATTATTAGAGAATGATGAAGAAGAAAACCTATGATCCTGTCAGTAGTATTTGATTACGATCGAGACTCCAAAACCATGGCTACTTAAATTCAATTTTGATCTATCTTATGTTTACATTCATCCATTTCTCTCTCTCTCTCCCTTTCCGTCCCCCTCCTCAATATGTTATTTTTCACTAAAAAACTACACAAACAAACGATTCAAATTTTGCAGTCTGAATCTGAATCCGAAGTAGAAGAGTTAGGTAATTTGCATCAGTTGCGGAGGATGGGTGCGAGTTGTCACTGTGTCATACTATTTATTATTGTTGTTAGTTACATGTATCATTCTATTCTTCTAAACTAACAAGAAAAGAATGCCCCCTAGACCAGTCATATATATGGTGCCTCCTTCCAGCAAAACAACAATTCAACCTAATTATTGTATGAATGATAGTTGCCTGAAACTTAAGGATCAAAATAAATTAAAACTTAAGGATCATTAGTTCCTTACTGTGTTGAATATCAATAAAATTAAGTATTCAGAATCTGAAGGCCAACATTTAGAGTAATTGTGCAAAAGAGCACATTGTAATATGTTCCACGTTGAAGCATTGAATCACTTTCAATTTTTGTCCTCAAACACCTGCACTGTAGAAGGTGTTCTAGTTTCTAGCAAAGATTAACAAAGAGCAATTAAACAGATGGAGCAATATTCATGATGAAGCAAAATTTAAATAATTATTCATATATTTGTATATAAAATTTAATTTTTTAAAATATATTTTCAATAGTTTTTATATATATAACAATGGTATACGCACACAATGTATGCATTGTGAACATATTTCAGATTTTTTTAGCTAAATTATTATATTTTTTATTATACGATCGGTCCGACCAATTGACCCAATGATCAGACAAGTGAACCATTGACTCGATCCCTCTGCTAGTTCAACGTCTGGTCCGGTCTAGATGACTATGATCATTGGCAATTTGGTATATTTTACAGTTACTCATCCAGATATCTCTTGTGCGGTTTATCTCGTTAGTCAATTTGTTCCTTTGCATTCTCCAAAATCTTCCAGATACTCTGCACCAAAATCTTTTTTTTTCTTCCTCTTATTTTATGGAACTCAGAGCTTATTCATATGTAGATTGGGCCAGTGACTCTATGGATCGCAAATCCACCAAGCGATAGTTACATATTCTCCTGCTGAAGTTGAGTATCGTGTTATGACATCTATGACCGCCAAGATAGTTTACTTATGTTGGTTGCTTGTAAATCTTGACATCTCCTTATGTGGTCTTACACCTATGCTATTCAATTGCTCACAACTCAGTGTTTCTTAAGCGTGCAAAGTATATTGGATTGATTGTCACTTTATACGCTATCATCTTCAGTTGAGCACTATTTCTCTCCATTTTCTTCCTTCTACCCTGTAGTTGACGAATTTCTTTATGAAGCCTCATACAATAGTGAGATTTCACTTTTGGCTTGGCAAAGTCTTGATGTTCTCTGCTATTACTAATGAGTTTGATGTGGGTGTAAGTGTATATTTAGTGTTGATTTTAGTCACTTATTTTATTTTGGGTTGCCCTACTGTATACAAGGCCTTTATTGTGTATTCTGATTAATTGTTGTAACACAGACTAAGAGTATTTGCTATTTCATTCTCTCTTTCTCCTCTTTTTAATCAAAGTTAATAAGATTAACCACGTTTTGGGGAAGGGATGTAGAGCTTCATACAATGGGAATGCCTGTTTATGGCAATTATTTTGGGTACTATGGATGGACAGAAATAGAGAATTTCCAATGAGAAAGAAAAGTGGGGAGAAGGTAAACTTCTTGGCTTTCCCTTTGGGCAGTTGTATCCAAAGCATTTGAGGTTGTGTCATTCTTCTCCCTTAAAAATGATTTTTGGGTGGTCTTCTTGCCCACTTTCCCATAACCTTTTACTAATTTAGTGAAAGTTATGTTTCTTATTAAAAAAACAGAGGATAATAAGTCTTTCATTAGAATCCTAAGGAGTTCTCTGCTCGAAACCTTAATTCTGCTATATTCATACTTGGCTGTTTAGTAATACTTATCTTTATCTACTTACACCTTCCTTCATAATGTACTGTAGCTTAATTTGGATCATCTATATATTTCTACTTGTTCACGCAAGAAACAATTGACTTTGCACAGAATGATTTGAAGTTTTTTAACAAGTGTCTCTAATCCAGACTTTTCATCTAGACCTTGTACCCATAGAATGTACAGGGAAGAGAAGACTGACGGCTAATGCCAAAGAACCATCATAAATAAACATATTCATATACTTTTCATAGGAAAAGTATAAGCTGGCTGAGCTATAATAAGTTGAATACCAAATTTATGAGAAAAAAAAAAGGAGTTAGCCTAGAAGCTAAAAATTATTTAAATCCAAACCTTTTGTTTCATGTAGAACTATTACACGACATATTCAGAAGGAAAAGGAAAAGAAAAAGAAAAATAAAAAGGAAAGGAAAAAGCATTAGTATGAAATGGTAGAAAAAACATAAATAATCAATTAGTAAACATTAGAAAGCATACCTCCAGAAGCTGCACATGCAGGCCACAGCAGCAAGAAGCAGAAAGCTTCCGCCGTAGGACACTCTGAGATTTAGATGCATAAATGTAATGCAGAAGTCATTCTGGGTCTCATTCAGAAACAGTGTAATTCAGTGCCTCTGAAAGGTCGGTCATGAAACAACTCATTTGTCCCTTGTTAACCATTTTTGATAAAGATCAAATGCACTATCAAGCTTTCTTGTCTTGCAGTACTTTTTCATGAGTATTAGAAATGGAACATGATCAATAGGTATACCAGATCTCTGTACCTTGACAAAGAGCTCTTCAGCCTCCTTCATTTTACCTCTTACACAATAACATTTAAGCAGCTCAGTGTAAGTAATAATATCCGGATCATACCCTCTCCTCAACATTTCATCATGTAACTGGAGAGCTGAATGAATGTGGCCAAGATTACAAGCAGCACCTACCAATAGATTATAAGTGACCAAATCAGGAAAAGGGCCATTTAAGAGCATGTCTTTCTTTAGAGAATGAGCTTCCACAACATTTCCACTTCTTATTTGTGCATGAATCAATGAATTATAAGTAAATATGTTGGGCAAAACGCCAAATGCAACCATCTGATCTCTAATGGATAAAGCTTTTTGTATATCTCCACATCTTGCATAGCCATCAATTATAACATTCCAAATGAGAGGCTCAGGTATAACCAAATTCTCTAACATTCTAACAAGAAACTCATTAGCTTTAACAACATCTCCGTTAATACACAGGCCATGGATAATCATTTTGAATGATATTTCATCAGGAGAAACACCCATTCTTGACATAACACTATGGATATAGCAAGCCTCGTCAGTCCTTCCTTCCTTACAAAGCACACTGATAAGAGTATTGTAAGTGAACGCATCAGGAAGTAAACCACCTTTAAACATTTCACAAGAGTACTTGTATGCAGTGTTCACGTCTCGGCTCAAACAAAATCCATGAATAATAACATTATATGCGACAACATCCATTTGGGTACCCCTTTGGAGCATCTCATCCCAAAGAATGAGACCCTGGGCCACATTTTCGTGCTTAAAATAACCATCCATGAGTATAGTCGAGGTGATCAAATTCGTGGTATGCTTGTCACAACTATCACCTAATATTTCCCCAAGAAGCTTTCTAGCATCCTCTAATAGACCTTGATTACAAAGTGCATGTACAAGAATGTTACATGTAACTCTATTTGGTGTAACACGAGAATTAGCCATGGAAGATAAAAGATCAAGAGCCTTGTCCACGTTGTTGGTAAGGCAATAACCCCTCATTAATGTGTTGTAGGTGGCACAATTTGGAGAGGGACCCCTGTATAACATCTCTCCAACAACCCACTCAGCCTTCTCCAAGTCACCGATTTTACAAAGTCCATTTATAAGGAAATTGTGAGTAAGAACATCAGGAATAACACCTTGTTGTACCATTTTGGTCCAAAACCACAGAGCTACTCCCAACTTACCTTCCAAACACAAAGCCCGCATAGTGGCTACTTTGTGAGTGCAATCTACTTCCAAAGTGCAGCTACTAATCCTTAATCGTGTCCATGACACACTTTCCCTGAAAAGTTCACAGAATTGAATCACAAAAAGATTTCAGGCTAGAAATGTCTATGCTCTAAACTTTACAGAAATCAGTATAAAGATTCCTTTTCTTTCGGGGGTCGGTCTGAACGAATAGTAAAAGCACATGATTTCCTATCACAATACACATATAATCATATTAAATTCTCAGTAACTAATCATTAAATATAAGAAAATAGTACTTTTCCTGGTTAATGAAGGTCTACTAGAATAAGTATCAAGCCAGAAAATTGTTCTAGTAGTTTGATTTATTTTGTACATAATTTGGTTGATTTAAAGTAATAATGGACAAGGCAAAAGAAGCAAACACTAGAGGTAGCATCACAGTTGAGAACGGGATATTTGATAAGGATTAAAGGATCAAGATTAAAAAATGAAGATTTGAAGATAAGGCAGCAATTTAAGCCTTGTGGGAGTCCAAATTAGTAAGAAATTTCTTTAGAATTGGATTAGAAAAGAATTCTAGAAGATAATGTTTTGATATGTCTTCAATATTTTAGTTACAACTTTTGACTCCGATCTGATTGACTTGATTTTGCAACATTGGAAAGAAAACTTCAAAAGTTACAAAAGTTTATTTCATGAATTGACTTTTAACTATGTCAAAAATGAACTCGAAATTTGGACAAAGACGATGCGTGCGCCAGGACGCACTTCCGGAATATAATGCACGAGTTTTGACCTAAATGTACTTTTTTTTGCAAGGATGAGTTCCAAGGTCAACCCTAACCTCCCTAGTATAAATATAGCCTCTTTCTTTTGAGTGAGGAACAATTCTAGATCCAATTTTCTACACCTTTCTTTATTTTTTCTCAGATCTACCCATGGACAGTGAGTAGTTCCCTTTGTATTTTTAGCCTAGGGTCATGGATTTGTGATTGTTTATTCAGATATTTATTTTATCCAATTATTTTCTTGAATTTAATGTTAAATCTTTATTTTTTCAATATTAATTAAATGTTTTAGCAAATTTTTATGATATGTATAATTGTTTGATTGTTTATAAACAAGATTGAGTTTTTGGTATATTCAATGTTTATGATTCCCTGCGAGTTTTATGAAACTAATTGTTTAATTTTTATTTTCATATCAATCAAATTAATTGTGTTCCAAAGCTATATTTTCCAATTAATTACATTAATTTGAAAATCAACTAAAATAATTATGAATTGCATGAATATCATTTTCTAATAAACATGAACAGATCCAAATACCGAAGTTAAAGAGTCATTTTCCCAGTAGATTATTTCTTTTAAATTTTACTTTACAATTAATCTTCAACCAACTCAACTTTTCCAGAAATCTTTGTTTTTCCATTATCTTATTCCTAAATTCTCTTGAATTCATACGGTTCAACGTCGGACTTACCAAGTATTTACTACTTCTTGATCACCTGTACTTGAGTGTGCCCTTTGGGACTCGGGCACCTACTTTTCTAATACGTGAAATAGCAATTCAATGTAATCGAGACATTACAAGTATACACCAAACAACTTCCATTCAACTTCAATGTAAATGAAGAACTACATAGATAACTATTAATTAACTTGGAAAAATTGCAAGGAAAAAATGCAATATAAAGCGCCCAATTCCCAAATCTATTGTGCTTAAGAACAAAAAATAAACAAATCATTGCCATAAGCCACAGTCATTTAGTACCTTTCATGACAAAAATTTAGCAAAAATTTTCCAATCACCACATCCCTTTAATATTATCTAAGAGATTTAAGCTTACCTCATTGATTTCAAGCGGTTCAAACTACCCTTCAACATTTCATCCAAAGCATTAAAAACCGCACTCGAACCATCTCCTTCATCATCACAATCCTTCTTTTGTGACCACCACTCTGCTCTTCTGAGCTCATATCCATCACCAACATTTGCAGCAATCATATCCTTAATGGCATTTGGAAATATCTCACTCCCCCTACAAAATATAAACCACACATCCAATAATGCAAGCTCAACTATTAACATTGTCAGATTTGGTAAAGCATGCTATTATAGCTTATGGTTGGACAGAAAGTAGCAGAACATATTCATGTAATGAACCCCAACCCATTTTTTCGGATGAGGCTCTGTAAAGGTGAGTTAAGTTCACATAGACATGCTTATATGGATTAGTTGTTGCTGAAGTGGCAAAATAGTAGTGCCAAAACAGGACAATTGTTAGGTGCAGTGGATAATACCAAAAGTCGTTATGTATTCGGTTCACTGCTACAGAAACACCTTCCATCAAGTTATACGGACTACACTGGGCTATGACTTCACATATATGTGCATATATGCGAGTTGGAAGCAGTCAGTTACCTTCTATCGACTAAATCTCTGTTGGGTTTACTGCAGAAAATGTCGTTAAAGATCTGACTGATACGGTCTTTGATGGAGTCTAGGGTTTGGATGCTACCGTTGAAGATTCGAAGAAGAAAATGGGATTCTTCGGAAGCAATTAACAACTGAAACTCCAAATTTACAACCACCAAACAGTGAAATTTGTAGTCAAATTGCACATACACACACAGATATCTTATAGAATGCATTTGTATACGCACCATAATATAATCTCTTCGAAATGATAATTACAGAATAGAGTTTTGTAGCTGAGAAAATTGGGAGACTTACCGGTTGCATTTTTCGGGAAAGAAATGATTTTGGTAGGAACTCCATACAAATCGGATGCAACATCGGAAACACGAGGCAAATTATCAATTGACTTACTCCCAAAAACATCGTTCTCAACCTTAGGAATGTTGAGAGTGGTAGCAATGAGATCGATTGAGAACTCAATTGAATCCCACGAATGTTTATGACAATGTGCTCAACATTGGGATCCGTGTCTCTAATGTGAGCTTAGAACTCTCTAATCATGTCCTTATTTGCATGTTCTGGGGCAGCGAAAGGACCAGTCCATCCCTGATTACCGAAATGCGAAGGGGTAGAAGAATTTCTTACCCATGTGAAGTCGACGCCTCGCTCCATTATGACCGGCTCAAAGCTTTCTCATCCCTTAAACTCTGGTCATTGTGGGGAGTCTAAAATCGATTGCTCTCATTGAACAACTCAATCCTAGCCTTTTTCTCAACTGTTGGTGTCATCCCTAAATTCAATCGGTGAATATGTCTTAAACTAAGTGTATATCAAATATTTAAGTTCAAATCGATATACAATTCATTGTTGATGATGATCGAAAGAGTGAGTTGGTGATGGCAAAGAGTTTTGAGAGGTTTGACTCGAGTTTAGAAGAGTTGGGAATGAAGAGAGATTGTCAAAATCCGATTAGAAAACCCTCGGCCCGACTCTTAACGAAGGCCACTCTAGCGGTCCCTGAAGTTTTGTGGTACAACTAATTGTTTAGTTTCAATCGTCCTTTGGATCACTATGAATTTTCCTCCTCTCTCCACTCGACTTAGTGAGCCCTCAAATGCATGCATGATGTATGTACATGAGTAAAAACATGCATGGATGAAATTTGGATCTAAATATAATGCATTTAATTTTCAAAGTTGAAATGCACAAAAGTCATAATTATGAAAATCACACTAATTCATCAATTAACTTATCCATCCTCATTTCATCATCTCATAGATTAGTCTATGTCATATTAATAAACTAGTCATAACCCGTGCCTGAAGCCACGTTAAAATATAAAATTCGAACATCCAAAAAATCGATCTCACTATATTAATTTTTTTTAAAATATATTAACTACAAATTAATTAAATATTAAATGATTAAATATATGATAGAAATGAGTAGTGTGATATTTTTAGGGAGGAAATATATAAATAATTAAATATGTGATAGAAATGAGTGATGTGATTTGACGTTTGAGTCTGACAAAAGAATGATGAGTGAGGTAAGTGATTGATGATGGTTTTGAGGGAAAAAATATGACTGGGATAAAATTCAAACACACTCTTGTTTTATTATATAGATATAGAACTACACACTTATGTAGCATTAGAGCAATTTTGAAAAACTTAGTTCAATTTCTACGGTCACTCACATGTTTTCTAATTTTTTCTTTCTTTGATCAACCCATGAGTTAAGTATGTGAAACTAAACTCCAGCACAATTAAGAATCTATCTAGATTAAAACATTGAATTAGCCCTACATAAATTTCTAATGCATCGTCTAAGTAAAAGCCTAATCGGCTAGTGAGAGTCGTAATTTGATTGTTCTTTTCATACTATTTTTCGACACTCTCCATATTTGTTTCATTCCTTCTACTCATTATTGTTAAGAGAGTTTATATCCCGCATTGAATAGTTAGGACTACCATGGTTGGTTTATATATTTGAGGGGCCACTCCACCCATTACCAATTGGTTTTGGATTGGGTGCTCTAATATGGTATTAGAGTTGGGCCTTGGGTGGGCAATAGGTCAAGTTTCTTACCCATTTGAATTTTTTGATATGCATAGTTGTTTGCCTGTTGACCCCATGTGCGAGCTCGGGTCCCACTTGAGGAAGGGTGTTAAGAGAGCTTGTATTCCATATTGAATAATTAGGGCCAACAAGGTTGATTTATATATCCTTAAAGGGTCACTCCACCAATTGACAATTGGTTTTGGGTTAGATGCTCTAACAATTATGACCTTAATAAGCACGATTGTGAATTTCGTACTTTACGTCTTTAGCTTCTTTGACATTGTAGCCTAGCTTTTTGGGCTTTACACATATGAGCATTTACAATTATCACATAGTACTCTCAGCAATTCAAGTGTTATTGACTTTAGTCATCTTTTTATGCCTTACATTTGTAGTTGGTCGCATTGGACTCTTTTTTCACATTTGACTATTTTGGTATCTTTTTAAGGGATATGGGGTTTTACTAACCATATTTATGTGTTCACTTATTACCAACACTTAAGAGTCATGTAAGGTCATTAACAATCTCAAGCTATTAAGTCTTTTAATCAATGGAGGCCATTGACTAAGGGTACAAAAGGTTTTATGAATTTCAAAAAAATTAATACTATCCAAGCATGCAAGGGTGGAAGAGACTTAGTTTTTAGATCTTGCTTTAAGACTTATAAGTATTATGTGCTCTATCCTATAGTATGACTCATAGTAATGCACTCAACTTTGATTTGATCATGATCAAGTTAAACTTTGAATGAGTAATGCACTCAACTTTGATTTGATGATGAATAATGTAAACTTCGAATCAAAATGTGATCACCATGATTAACTACAAAAACTAACAAAGGAAAATCTTTTTGCTCTTTTTTCATATTTTTGACAACAAGCAAAAATAATGCATGCTTTAATTCATAAAAACAAAGAAAATTTTAAGCTACCAATTACTTAGTCCCTAATGCATGATATGTTAGGTATGCTCTTAGGGTCAAGTCTATAAATGCACACTCACTCAAGTGATGGAACATGCACTTGTGGGTCTCCTTAGGTGTTGTATGCTGGATGCATCTATTAAGTCTTGCTTCCTTACACAAATGACCTTGACTTTAAATGGAATCATTGCATATTGGCCAGTTCATATAAGGGTTGAGTTAAGAGGTTATTTAACTTCTTTTTACTCCTCTTGAATTGCTTCCTAGATTCAAAAGGATTACTTACCTTAGGTTCATGAAATCTCTTCCTTGGTGGAACCTTAGAACCTCCATCCAATCCTATAAGCCAACTGAGGTCATGAACTTAACTACTCAAGGCTTTGGATTGATAAGCTAGGTGTACCAGCTTTCTATCAAGATTATCTAGAATGTAAGTGCCCTGAGTGCTAGTTTGATCGTGTCTACAACAAATGTCACAAACTAGAACCTTATTGGAAATAAAAGATTGAAACTCAAGCTTCTTGGGATTATGACTTCATACCGAGTCTCATTTACCTTTTGACAGTTGCGGTGGAACATGTTCTAGTTTTGTAGTAGGTGTGTCTTTTTCTTTGATAAACACAATTTTAGAAGATGAGGGTGTGGACACATTATCTGTGTAGCCTAAAAGCATCTCTTGTCACCCATATGTTTCCTAACACTCAACATCTTATCTAGTTTTTTGTGCCTACAGGCACCCTTTTTGTGAGCGTTGGAGTTATAGCCTAGTTATTAGGATTTTTTTTTAGTTTTTTTTTAACCTATTTCGCCTTTGCTATGATTTTTACGTCTTACCCAGACCACAAGGTTGTTTTGATCAGTTGCACTCTTATTTAGCTATATATACATGGCTATGCACTCAATTTGTGTATCTTTGTTACTCCCAATAATTCTAGTTGGTATTAGAGCCAGCCAAAAGCCTAGCCTACCCTAGCTTTAACCTTAACCCAAGCTACAAATCCCTAGCCTTCTCGCTGCTGCCCGCCACCTCGCACACCCTTTCCCGCCAGCACCACCAATTCGCGACCTTTTTTCGCAGCCTACAACTACTAGTTTTTCTTTTCCCTAGGGTCAGAGCACCCTAGGGACTTTTAGAGGGGCTGGATTCCCTCCGTTGATCTACTTTTGATGCAGTATATCATTTATATATTTTTCTGGAGTTTTTGGTGTCGTGACATGTTATTTGGGACCTTTCTAGACCTCTTATTTGTCGCTATTATTCAACTACAGGTATATTGTTCTCACTTGTTTCAATCTATTAATTTTAGAGTAATTTCTATCACGGTTGCCACATTATTATTATTACTATAGCCACTGTTGAGGGACTTGAGAGCTCTACAATTGGTACTTCAACTGGGAAGGTACCAACCACTTCTATAGGGATTACCCTTTTTACCTTTATGTTTAACCAGGATAAAGTACCTACTAACACAGTTGCATTACTGGTGATGTCGGGTATGATCTCTTAGAAGGTTATGACACAGTTATTGGATGACCGTAACTTTGCTGACTGGTTACGCTTATTTTAGCTCTTTTTTGGGCTTGTTGGGAAGTTAGGTTGGCTGACTGGATTGCATTCAAAGCCAACTAATAATGACCCAAGATATTTTGCGTGGTTCTCTAAGAATTGTGATATTCTTGGATGGTTATTTGGATCTATGGAGTCATCTGTTTGTAGGATTCATCAGTTTCATAACTCTATTTCGAAGCTATAAAGTGCATTATTAGATGTGTATTCACAGTTTTTCATATGCTCAATAAGGAGATATGACTTTTCAAGACTACTATGACTATTTGACTCAATGCTGGCTTGAGTATGAGACTCTACGTCCCCTTGTTGCTATTCCGAGGATAGAGCTTGAGGGAATGACATTTCTGCATACTCGAGAACAGGAGGATAGGATCCACAAGTTCCTTATGGGGTTTCATGATAAGTTTGAGGGAACTCGTTCCCAAATATTGTTGATGTTGAGGCCTCCTTCTCTTTATAAGGATTATTCTATAATTGAGCAGATGAGCATCGTATCTGTATTGCATCACTTCTAGTTGTGACCTTGATTCCTTAGGCTGACTAGATGGCCCTTACAACTACTGTAGGATTTCGCAGGGTTGCCCGTTAGGGATGGACAATGTCTAGACCAGTGCAGACAGGACGATTCTCGCTAGTGTGATTAATTGTGGCCTACCAGGGCATTTCAAGACTGCTTGCTAGAAGCTCCATCTAGAGTTTAAGCCGCCTTATCTTGTTCCTTGAGGCTATACTACTACTATTGCTAATGGACCATCACCTACTACTACTGCCCCTACTACCACTGCTCCTCATTGGCAGAGCAATATGGATGTTATCAGTTCTAGATTAGATATGCTTATGTCTGCTATGACTTCTTAGGGTCCTACTACTACTGCTGTAATTACTACAAGTATTCCTCGTGCCTTCTATGCTCACACCGGTCTTTTTCCTTTTTGAATGCTAGACTTAGGTGCGAATGGTCAGATGACAAGTGAGGCTCATCACTTCACTACTTTTGATAGCCATTACACACATAGGTTTAGTTAGTAGGTGGGACACATGCTCCTATTATTAGTAGGGTTACAGTTCGCCTTCCAGATGACCTTACATTACATTCTATTTTTCATGCGTCAAAGTTGACCATGAATATATTATCTGTACATCAGTTAGTCAGAGATTTTTGTTGTGTAGTAGTGTTCTTATGTGATTCTTGTTATTTGCAAGACTTAAATACCAGGAGGATTATTATCAAGGGACATGAGAGAGATGTGCTATACTATCTAGGCAATCCAGTTCCAGTTCCTCTACCGCATATACCTACTTTATCTTTATATGTTTCGAGCTACATGCTAGTATTTTACTTAGTACTTGTCTTTATGATTTTTGTTACAAATTGTTCAGTTGTGACATGACTATTTCGAACATACAAATTTTAAATATTTATGTATGCTATTTTCTATTTTGAGTAATGCTTGTGCTAGTGGTAGACTTGA